GCAACATACCGTGGTAGAAATTAATATTCTTGTCCTTGGTGAACCTGTTATACAAGTAATCAACTAGTACGCGTTTATCTTGAAGTATTATTTAATTAGAATTTTTGCTTACTTGTCTACATTCCTTATACAGAGACATATGTACACATATATTTATGTATGTGATTAAGTGTCTCGACATTCGGATATTATTAGCTTTCAATTCGTTTCTTATTTTTCGTTTCAACACAATATGCATACATTGTAAATACTACCTAAATATTAAATAATAACATAGATATTATACCTAAATTCATTTGATAACTTTACACTATTCCTGTAACTATTAATTTTTTATTCAATTTTAAATAATTTGAAAGTGTTTCCATTTTTTTCTATCCGTTGTTATCTTCACAGCTTTTTGTTCAGTATTATTGTATATAACTAATAGCAAAAATTGGCAATTACCGAAACGCATACTAACTAATACATACACAACTTGTCTTGATCATGTTTTCTGATTATATATAAATTAATTGTTTGTAAGTAATTAGGTAAGTATCAAAAACAAAAAGATACGAAGTTAGCTACCATTTTCGGTTACTTCATAATTATGGTAAAAATGACGAAACGACTCAGTCATATAAAGTTACTGCATGTGATTTTGTTTATCTTAGCATTAATAATCAAAAAGTCGCCCATATATACTGTACGCACGTATATACACTAGGGCAGAGAATAATATCGTGAAAATGTATTGTACATAATATTTGAAGTAATTTTTTTGAAGAAACCATGAGCAAACAAAAAAGTTAACTTTAGAAAAGAGTCGAAAAATTTAGCCTGAAAATTACTTTGTAAGTCAAATAGGTTAATTAAAGAAACTTTTTAAATAATTAAATATTATTTTTATTTGGAGATTATATCCCCTTAACCCGTTTAAAAATTACGCAGGTAATATTGGATCTCATTTATATTTAAATCAGTGCATATTTCTTGTTTTTTAATTTCCTAAAAGCTGATATTCTTCTCAATATGTTGTTTTTGGGATACCTGAGGCTTACTGAATTCTACAGAAAGTGCTTTCTTCACACATATAAAGATGTATTGATCTTTAGAAATAGACTGTAGGTAATATGTATATGTTCACGAGTATACATATATAAATATACACATCGGAGGTACATATGTACATATAATTGTTAGCATTACGCTTTACTACGTTCCAATTTAATATTTTTTAATGTGTTTACTTTTTTAATGTATTTTAGATTTTTCAATGTGTTTCTTAAACTTAGCTTACATGAATTCTTAAACCTTATCCGTGCTCCTTTCCCATATTTCCTGCACTTAAGTTTGTTGCGGTCATTTTATTCGTTTTTTTCTTGCATTATGCTTATATTATTGTTTACTTGATCTTCTTAAGTATTTTCCTATATAGTATGATATATATTAACTTGTTAGATAAAATTTGACAAAAATATGGCAAAAAATGTGGCACGTTACTTTTTATTTTCGTTTCATTACACATTATAATTTTTAATTTACTTTTTCCAATAGAGCTACTACGCAGAATTATCTAATCATTTTACTTTTACCTTTAAATACCTACTAAGCTAAATAATTTAAATTACCTTATTCTTACCTATTTTCATTTTGCAACTTTTAGGCGCTTTGAAGTTTGTTTTTACATAAATTTTTGCAAATAACAAAATTGGATAAAACTCACTTGATTATATTTTTCTTAATTTCCTTTTAAACGCATAAGTGTATTTTTAATTGTAAGTGTCATAACTTTTATTTGATATACATTAAAAAGAAAATTGTACAGTCATTATATAACTTCATTTGAGAAGGGTTTATTCGCGATCGGAAGCGGTCACACAAACATACGCACATACTCATCTACACATATACGTGTATGTGAACTAGTATATGTAGACAAGCAAGAAGAAACTCTTGGTTTTATGCGGACAAAATCATTAGTCCAGCTTATGTACCATAAACAGCTTCATACTTTGCTCTAATAAAAGTCTACTTTGAACAATCTTCTATTAACTTTTCAAACTCTATTGACGTCCATTCAGAATTGTTGAAATGGCCAAAAAGTAAAATATATGCCATGATAGCATTCAAGCATTAAGATTTTCAGAAGATATTATAATTTCTTTTTGGCTCTTCTAGAGGTGTTATCATTTCAAGATAATTGTTATTTATTGGCTTTTATTTTTCGGTTCAAATCAAAAATTCTTAAAACACTATTTTTGATTTCTCAAACCTGTTATGAAAAGCGGCAAATAACAAAATTGGCGGTAGCCGAGTGGTTAGTATTGCGTACTGCCATCCGGCACGACCAACATCCAGATTTTATAGAAAATTAATTTAAATAAAAAATTGGGTTAAAGTTGCATAATTAGCAACAACACATGTTATATATTGTTAAAATCATTAAAGATTAAGCCGTTAAAATTACGAATTGCCTTCCAATTTCTTCAAAATAAAACACATACACTATTTCTCTCAACTAAATTCAATTAAAAAATGCAAATTGAAATTTAATTAAATTTCAAAATGTTAGTTGAATTACAGACGTTTGTCCCGCAGTAACCAGAGGCGTTTTGGTTTTTTTTTCGTAAAACAGACCCAGCTGATTGTTCACTGTAATATTTACAAGGTACTGGCGTATTGACTTTAATGAACGAATTTTAAATAAATCAGAAAAAAATCATAATTTTTTAAAAATAAATGAATAATTAATGAGTAATTAGTTGTTTATTTCAATATTGGTCATGTATATTTCATTAGCGTTCATATTAGAACAAATAAAATATGAAATTTTTTGGACGAAAATTATAAATATATTTAAAAATATGAAAGCGCACTGGCAGCTGGCAATATTTCACCGCTGCAATCAATAACTTCTGTATGCATATCTCTCTTCAAGTCGGGTTTTATGCCTGGTAGTTATGTAAACTGGCTATATCGGGTATGGCTTGCAAGTCCAATTTTACGTGCGCATATGCATACATTTGTATGTACATAATGAATGTGTTTGAGATGTGTGCAATAAGTCTATCAAGAGTTTTTTACTTACTTTTTAAATATGATAAACTATAAAGTGAAAACTTTTATTTTAAGTTATCTTTGTTTTACTAGAACTTGGTATTCAATTTATTTTCTTTTAATTTTTTTTTTTACCAAACTGTATTTACACATTTTCTACCATATGTCTTAAAATAAATTCGTTTAGAGTTTCATTTTTGTCTCTCCTTAGAGTTGTTTACCATATTTTTCGGAAAAATTTGTTATTAATTGTCTTTAAGTCATCGTCATGGAATATAATCTTCAAACAAAATACACTTTTTTATTTCCACGGTATTAAAAACATACATACATACATACATATACATACAGATATACATATATCTGTGTACATTAAATTAAACTTTTATTCATAAACAAATGTATGTATGATAACTATGATTTTCTCAAAGCAATATCTACATAAAAATCGTCCCAATTGTATATTTGAATATCTATGTATTTTGTATATATATTATGTACACATTTGTGCTGAAGTGCTCCGTACAAACTGAATCTTCAATTCGAAATTCTTCAATTACATTTATCAAGCTTAGCTTAGATTTTCCTTACTATTTTAGCGTTTTATCGTATCAGTCTATATTATATATATTTTTATTTCATTTTATATTATTTTGTTCTATTTTCTTTTACTTTTATTTTATTTAGGTATGTTGGCAATTTCCTGCTAATATTTCTGGACCATATGTCCACTGGGATACTATTCTATTACGCGGTATTGAACCAACTCACGCCTCGCTACCAGCTTGCTGTTATCCGATCATTACTTGTATTTCATCGATCGCACGACTACACGAAATTGCAATTGTGTAAAACTTTTATGCTGCAACTACCCAAAAATAAAGTTACTCAGTTGTGACAACCTATCTTATGAGAGCGGCATGTAAATGCAAAGTTACCACCGCTTGCCGATGGCAAAACTGACGGTTGTGCCGCAGAAACCAACGATAATTTGGTTTTTCCGTAAAACAGACTCAGCTGATTGTTCGCTGTTATACTAGGTTGCCTGTACTGACTTTTATAGGTAATTCTAAATAAACTACGAAAATGCAGATTTTTTTCATATTAAACCATAGTAGTTAATTGTTTGTTGCCATATATCATGTATGTTTATTTCATTAGCGTTTATATGCGAGCTTATAAATTGTGAAATTGTTTGACAAAAATTATAAATTTGTGTAAAAGCACGCAAGCACCATGGCAGCTGCAAGCAATTTTGTTTATATTCGTTTGTTTATCATCAATTTTAATATGGAGCCCACAAAAGCTCATTTGCGCCATATTTTACTTCATTATTTCCTTAAAAAAAAATGCTACGTAGGCTGCCAAAAAGTGGCATAATTTGTATGGTGATAAGGCCTTAAGTTGGTTGAGGAGAAGTTAGGCATCCAAAATCAACCGTTCAAAATCATATACGACGTTTTGCACTGGTAAAGTTTATATTTAGGTACCATATAAATTGAAAGAAATTCAAGGCTTGCGATGTGCAAAATGATCCGGTGTTAAAGCATATCATAACTGGAGATGAAAAATGGATTGTTTACAACAACGTCAATAGAAAACGATCATGGTCATGATAAAGCGCCGCAAACCATTCGGATGTCTACTGTGAACAACAGTAGAAATTGGTCAATCATTACGGTGTCATATTCCACCAGGATAATGCTAGACCGCACACATCTTTGCTCATTCGCCAAAAACTAAGAGAGTTTGGCTGGGAACTGTTGATGCATCCACCATATAGCCTTGGCCTTGCGTCGTTAGACTACCGTTTGTTTCGATCTATGCAGAACTCATTAAATGGTAAAAGGTTATAAAATCATATTTGGTTCAGTTTTTTGTGACCGTGAAATAATGATGTTGCCAGAAAGATGGCGAAAGGTCCTCCAACAAAATTAAAATTATACAATTGATTAAAATTCATTATAAAATTAAAAAAAAAAAAATGTATTTAGTTCTTTTCGCCGGTTTCTGTTGGGGCAACCCAATATTTCTTTTGCAAGGGAATTGTCGCATTAAACTTTACCGCCAAGATTTCAGGGCTTATCCCCATTTCTAGGAGAGCTACTTGCTTATTGAATTTTACATGCTGTCACTTCTTCATGGCACCGAAAGTAATATTAATAAATGCATGATCAATTCAATATTACGTAGACTTCTATCAAAAATTTTCTTATACCTTGCTTTCCCAAAAGAAAGGAAAGAAAGCCAGTGAAACAGAATCGCATTGCGTGTCATGGAACAATATATGCCGTGGAAAAGTCGTATATGATATGTAATTAATACTATCGATTTACTTTTCACAAAAGCGAAAGCAACCGAATCGTAAGTATTATACTTCATAATGTAATGTAATGTATTGTAGCTAATCCATGGAGTATTATCCATGGCGTATTCCGATGTTATGCAGGTGGAGTATGTGGCCCAGCCCTAGAATGCTTCAATGTTAACTAGACCATGCATTTTGTATGAATATGGTTTGCTTTGGAGTACTCTGTTGTCCTTGTGAAGTACATTTATATGTAAATGTAGAGTTTCATGCGTGCATGGAGTACTCAAATCTGCTTAATATAGAGCATAAGTGTATGTATGCCTAGCTTATATATAGATATGTAGGTATGCACACATTTAAAACAGAGAATACTAAAAATATAAGAGAATAGCGCTATTGTCGTTGTCGCTTCTATTGACAAAGGTATGCTGTCGGTGTTTATAATGTTATTACTTTTATTGATACTTCTTCTGCTCCTATTTAAAATTATTTCGTCGATATCTCCAGAAATCTTGGCACTACGTTTTTGCAATTGCTACGTAACAGTTATGGCGCCATTTTCGCTTCCCGCAGCTCTTTCACTTACATCACCGACGACGGTGGCTCTATTATCTACACCAACAGTCACTGTTGTTGTTTTTGGTAATGTTGTTGGTGCCATCTCAGCTGCAGTTACAGCTGGCGTTGTCTCATTTGACAGTCGGCTAACCAATCCCACCATGCTGTTACTCTGCTTCGCTGAACTGCAACTAGGAGTCGTCGCGTTAATTTTCTCTACATTCGATGATGCAGATACTGGCAACTCATTAGTATTGGTTGTCGGATCAGTAGCAAAAGTTATGCTGGTATCTACGCGTTGTAAGTTATCGTTTACATTAACGACGGCAGCAGCGTTGATTAGATTGGGCATATGCACTCTTGCTACAGCGGCAGCGGCTGCTACCGAAGCTAAATGGTGGCTAAATTGTTGGAATTGCTGATTAAAGAGAGGTGAGTGTGTATGATGGTGGTGAGAATGATTATGGACGAGATGATGCGGAGCTGGTGGCGTTCCAGTAGTGCTATTAAAATGAAATTGTTGCTGGTACTGTGTTGAGAGAGGTGGTAGTAAGGACGACGCTACCAACTGTTGGTGCTGTACTGCAGAAGTGGACGCTGGTTGTAGTCGCAGAGATGGCTGCGTTATAAGCTGTTGATTATTTTGCTTGTAGTGTTGGGCAGCTACACCGTTAGTGATGCTATTGGATGTGTTTGGTATCGAGTTATCTAAATACGGTGGGTCGCCTTCAGTCACTGTATTTTTCGGTTTGGTGGTATCACAACTGTTGCAATTGTTGTGCGTGCTTTCACCACATTTTGTGAGCTGATTAATGCTAAGGGGATTATTAATGTCATGGGGGTTTGCGCCTATTGGGTTGCGATGTGTGGGAGCTATTAACTTTTCATACGAGTCAGCCGTAGGTGAAGAGTCTGTCGAGGAAGCGGTGATGGACTTGCCGTCTAAAATCGGTTTTGATTTGCTCACTGCTCTGGGAGTTGATGACGTGTCTCTATTGGCCGTTGAAATGTGCTCAATATTACAATTGTTGTCATTGCTTTTGTTGTTGATGAGTGTCGCCCTGTCATACGGACTACTACATATTGGCTCATCATTGGCTCTGGGGCTAGAGGTGGTGGCGGTAGTAGTCGAGGTATCGGTTGTAGACTCTTTGTCAACTATACTGATTGGTGCTGATGCCGTTGCCATGCTGGACGCCACGGTATTGGTGCTTGATAACATTTGAGCTATTGAGACTATGGCTCCTTCGCTTGGATCTAAGTTTGTCGGTGGAAAGCTGGCGTTACTGAGTAGAAGGCTAGATGGGCTAGGGTTCAGTAGACTGCGCATATTGCGCTCTGTGAAGGCAGCTACCGACACTACTGCAGCTGCTGATGATGTTGAGGTATTTGTTAGGTTATTGTTGCCGCCAATGCATAAGCCACTGGGACTAATATTTGGCAAAACTGGTGGGATTATTGGGCCGTTCACACCGATACCGATGCCCCCGCCACTGCTTACAAATGATCTTACGGATTTCGTATGTTCGCAAATACTGATGTTGGTAAGCGTAGACGATGCCTGTCCTTGTGGTTGCTGTGAATCCAACTGGTGCTGGTTGGAATTTTGCTGCTGCTGTTTGCGGATTTGTTGCGTTGTCACATCGATGACGCTACTGTTAGGTTGCAGTATGTGTAGTTGTTGTTGTTGACACTGCATATTCTGATGATTTTGCTGGCTTTCGGGCAGCCCGAAAGACAGACCAACAGTGGCGGGACTGACAAGTAAATTCAACGGGCTAGTCATGCTAGTGGACGGACTTTGGAGGCTAGATAAAGCACTCTGGCAATCAGGACTAGATAGCGAATGGTTCAGCGATTCGTTGTCATAATATCGCGTCTTATTATCATCTATACTGCTTGGACTACCCAGATTATCGCTAACATTGTCATCCAGATCATCTAGCTCCTGATAGTAATTATCCTTACCAACTCTACAGCCACCGCCGCTTAGCGCTTCCATGTAGCGTATGCATTTCTTTTTGCGTCTACTTGTACATGTCATCATCAAGGAAGTGTGGAAGAGAAGAAAAAGTAAGCATAGGGAAAGAGAGAAAATAATAAGTTAGTAAAATTGCGAAAATTATGCTACATAACAACTACAACTGGCGTATGTACATACATGCACAAATAATTATCTCCATAAAAACATAGATATGTACATATGGATTTGCATGTATGTGCATATATACATAAGCACTCTCACATTTTGAAAGTTTTTAAAGATATATTCGCTTGGCAGTCGTTAATGTATTCATAATGTTATTTGTAAATAGTTTATAATAATTAAACTAAAAAGTAAAAAATTTTATTAAGGCATATATGTTATTATATAAGCAATACATACATAAATATCTAAGCTGTAAACTATTAATAATACAAAATATACGCAAAAAGTTATTAATAAAATAAGATATTATAATTTGAAAATGACACAATCACAAAACATCGCAACTACGCGTGCAACATGCAACATGAATAACGATGCTCGATAAAAGCCCAACGATTCATATTTTAATCTATGATTTGTTCTGAAATCAAACAATATTAAAAAGAAATAATCAGACGAACAAGTCAAACAGCAAACATTTCACTGAACATTACGCCATGTCCAACGTAGGTATGGGGGCACGATTTTGCGGTGTATGCGGGCAACGAACTGCCGACCAAGTCGTAAATGAAAAACGAGAAGCGTCCAATTACAACACAACTGCCTTAATGCGGATGGCAACAAAAAAGTGATAGGAAATGGCTTTGCTATCGTCCCGTGAAATTTTTTTTATTAGAAAACAGTTTATTAAATTAAAGAATATGAAAGAAGAAAAACATATGTGATATAAAGACAGATTCATTTTTACACACAATTTCGAGTAAATGAAAGTACATATTAGCAAATATACATGATATTTATTACCATAGTACAACAAAAACACTTTATTCCACTTCCAGATTTAAAGCATCCATTTTCAATACGATTCTTCTCGCACTATTTCTGTAGGCAAAGTCAAACGAGTTTGATTTTAAAACATTGCGTGCGATGCGGGGACCTCAAAATACACGCATTATCGCAAAATCGTGCTCACATTGGATATCTACATTTGCAAGCAAATGTGATAACATATCTGAATAATAAAAAAGTTTATAAGGATCATTAGTCAACTTTTGCATTATTTTATTTAAACTTTGAATGTTCTATTAACAATGGGTACTTGCAGCAATTTTTCTAAAAATACTAACTTTATATTAATAAATGAAAGAATTTATTTTACTTTTCCAAAAGAATACATTCTCTCTTTTTTTCAACCGCACAATTTGTAGTTGAATCAGGTGATCGAAAGAGTTTTCACGTGGAACTACATATATCGCCCGATGAAGTATATAAAGAATATTGTTAATACGAAAATTCGTTTCGGCTGTTCACCATAGCAGAAAAATGTTTAATAAAAATAGGCACGACGCAGTTGCGGCCGGAAACATAAAACGTATTGAAAATGCTTCCAACTTTTAGTTTCGTCTACTCATAATGTGTGCACAAAGTAAAAAACGGAATGTTGCATTTTTGAAACAGTCACACATACAGCGACCGTTTGACCAATAGTTTCAGCTGACACATAAATTGTTCATTTTAAGAGTATAGATACTTAAATTTTTTACATTTACATTTTACTATTTTTGATCTCTTATCGTTGTCATTGTCAACAATTCAACAATATAACATCAACACTATAATTAAAATTAAGGTAGCAACATCTGTGAACATCACCTCAACGTATTTATTTACATCGCACTACAACAAATAAAAATCTAGTTTCCTTGATCGGATTAAGTTTAAGCGGTATTTAAATATATGGTAAATTGTAAACTTTCGTGCAAATAAAATAATGATTACTTCTAAAAGTTTTCTAAAATAACTTCAGCGGTGGCCGTAGAAATATAAAAGCTTTCAACTCATTAACTAATTAATTGATTTGATAACTATGTGAATATTGTCGGCCAGTCAAAAGCTTCTAAAAATGTATTATGAGAATATATGTAATTTAACGCAATTTTTCATAGTACGATCCTCTGTAATTTGTTCTTAACTGAGAATAAATTCACTCTTAAAGAACTTCAATTCATATATCAAATATTTACACACAAATAGTAGGAGGCTGATTAATTAATCAAACATTGCACATTTCTTTTCACGCAAACAGATTTTCAGTATTTATCTGAAATTTTAGAACAAAAAATGGCGTTAGTGGTTTAACCTCATGCAATACAGAAAAAGATAACCAAACGAAATATTTAAAATAGCAACAATAAGGAATAACTTTATCGTGCAGAAAAACAACAACATCCAAACAACAACGGTGTATTTATAATTAATATAAAATATGGCATAGTTAATCTCTGTGAGTATGCACTTACAATTACTATTGAATAGCATTGTACATGATCGTGTTTTGTGAAAAGAGATATAAAATTTTGTAAATTCAACATTTAACAACAATAAATATAGTTTTATTATTTTTAAAACAATCAGAATATAAAGATGTTTGCAAATGAGTTAATATATTTAAGTAAATACATGGTATATACGTACATATATAAGTATACATATATGCATTTTCGGGTGTAAAACTGATCTATGTACATATAATATACACTTATATTGAGTAGAAACTATTTCAAACAAATGGAACGTACCCTTATCTAATCACCCAATATAATGCATCCACTATAAATGCATGATATTTTTCACTTAACAATCACTAACTAGCAGCTTTTTTCGCTTTTCGCAGCTTATTTCAGATACTACTGGTGTACTTCATTTGTTATCTAATATTGTACTTCTGTGATATACATACATTTGTATTACTGAGTATTTGGCTTGAGATCTTTAGATAAGGACTGGATGAAATAGAAAGGCAACGCAAATAAATCGAAATTTTAATATAATTTTATTATTAAAAATTCTTATTATGACATATGAAGACAATGCAATAAATATATATGCATAAACTTACTTAAATAAAAACGTAATGGAAAATGTGAAGGTTTGTTTTTCAGTGCGCTGGCAATATCGTATCCAGCATCCATTTAAAATATCACTTCTCATTTCATTGAGGCAATATCCCAACACCACTTTGCACGTTAACGATGACTCTGTATAGTTTCAACATTAACAATTTCATTTAGTGTTTTTCTTATTAGGTAAATGAAAGTATTGCTTTGTTTGTTGAGCTTCTATGATTTATTTTCTGAGTTGTCAATTATTCCGATAATAGATTAATATATAAAAAACTCAGTTGGATTAACCTCGTTCAAATATCTCAAAAACTGGGTTCAAGTAGGCAGATTGACAGACTGACATGGTTGATTAACTCAGCCCGCCAATCTGATCAAATGGTGATAAAAATTGATAGATCCATTTTCTTTTTTTCTTCAGGTACTTCTATACTTCTGTTCATGTGAGGTATAGTTACTGCTGAGTTAATCTAAATACAATGTTTTCTTGAATTGCTTGAACTAGTATAAAATATTGGTAGATACATATAATATATATATATATGTACATATACACATATTGTTGTTAAACATTAAATTAAAAATAAATAATTTTCAAATATAAGGGTATTAAACATGGCTGATATTATATGGACATATATAAAAAAATAAGTTTTGCCATTGAGACCTTGAAAACTTCAATTAAAAAAGACTTCAGCATAGCCAAAAACAGAAAACAGCATACGTAAACGAGAAAGCGAGACAAAATGAAGCTCATAATTTATGTGTGTATTTAAAAAAAAAACGTAAAATTTAAAATTATATGTGTATATACAAATGTTCGCTAAGAAAAGATATATATTAAAGATTTTTTAAATGCATACTGGCAAAAATGTTTTATGTTGCTGCTGTTGCTACAGTTGTGGCTAGAGTAGAAAGGACGACAGTAGAAAAGCCTCGATTTCGCTGCCGGTAGATGAACGAATGAATGAATGCAATCCGGTCCAGAGATTTGATTTTTAAGCAAAGGACATTGTTTGCTGGATAAGATCAATATAATAATTCGTAGTCGTTTTCCACTTCTGTGCGCTTAACTACGCGCCCTTGCATTCATTAGTTTTTATTTTCTTTATTTATATATGTATATATATTTATTATGCTTTCTTCATTTACTTTTAAAAACCAAAGTCTGTCAGTCAGGTTAAAATGTTTACGTTTCTTTCCTTAAAAAAAATATTTGTTTTTATATTTTCTTCGCTTTTTTTTACTTAGACACATCCAATTGTTTTGTTTCATTGTTTTTTTTCTGCTTTACTTTGCAGTATAATCTGCTTTTCTTAATCCTGATATACATATTTACATATAAATATATGTATATATGATTATAATCAAATATTGTACTCTTGTATGTGTTTGCCGCTCTGTGATATTTAACTATTTAATTATTCAGTTTTTCCTGATGCAAAGCATTGAATTTTTGATTCATCGCCGTTACTATAATCGCATCGTTTCATCATAACAATTTTTTTTGTTCTACTTTTTTTTTTGGTAATGGTTCCTGTCACTATTTTCTGTGTACATGTTTTTATATGCTTAAGTCTTAAGTGTGTTCTTCTGTCTTGCCAATTACTATCTCATTCAGAAGCATCTATATTAGTTGTACTTATAAATTCACATAGGTTGGCGGTGCCTGCGGTGACGGTTGCTGTAGACCGCCACTACCATTAGCTGGAGTCGCTGTTGTACCCGTCAAAACGTTGATAAGTGCGGCAGATGGTTGCAGAATGTTGTTGTTATTTGTTTGTTGAGATGCTGAATTAATGCTGCAATGGCCAGTAGCTACTGCTGCTGCGGCGACAGCAGCTTGATTGAGCAGCTGTGCTGCTGCCGCATTAATTGAACTTTGAGCTGATGCAGCGGCGAGTCCGTCATTGGCACTAATTCCACCTGCATTGTCGCCATTACCGCCAGGTAGCACCAGCAGACTGGTGCTTGCATT